TCGTTAAAGCTTTTCTGAATGGAACTACAAGGTCTTAAGGTCTTACGTGGTGGCGGTGGAGGTTGGGGCTGGCAGTGGGTAACGGATCGCCCGTGTATCCCGGCGGCAGGTGCAGCTGGGCGTATGATTGATCACGTTGCAAGTGGCACCAAGGCCACAGGAGCCGGGACAGGGATTGCGACACTTCTCATTGATGCAGGCCTCTCTACTGAGACACTCCGCATTGATGCGGCACTCGGACGGCAGTTGGGCGGAGCCCCCAAGTACCCAATCGAACAGGAACAGGCAGGAGCGGCGCCATTCGAACGGCACTCGGCATACGGGCCACAAGGGGAGGGCACACAGGATCGACTGGTGTCTTTTGCACTGGAGGAGCCACTGGCACAGCTTTTTGGGTAAATTGGGAGATTAAAACACTTGGACCTCTGACTCTGGTCGTTCCGGGGTCTACTTACGGGGTTTGGGTACACAGCGGTAGAAGGCATCGCCCGTGTAACCGGCGCGACACGTACAAATGGGACTGTGGTTCACAACACGACAGGTGGCCTGCTCTCCGCAGGTATTCGGACAGGGATCGATGCACTTCTGGCCCACGCAGGCCTTATCCGGCGAGCACTCTGAGGATATGGTACACTCGGGACGACAGACAGGAGGCGCACCCACATATTCGGGAAGACAGGAGCAAACGGCCTGCTCGTTGGACTCACGACACTGGGAATTGGGGCCACAGGGCGAAGGCTGGCAGGGATTCAGATACTCCTTGATGGCTACAAAAAATTAGAGCAGGGATTGTAGGCATTGATCTCCAAGCGAATTTTTATGTCTAATGTCTACGTTGGCGTTCAAGCAGGCACTGACGGTAGGGATCGCCCGAATACCCGTGAGGCAGCTACAGCTGGGCACGTGGTTGAGGACATTGCAGATGGCATTCTGGCCGCAGGTTCCCGGGCAAGGATCCTCGCACTTCTGCTGCTGACACGCTCTGTTGGATGGACAATCAGAGTTGAGGACACATTCCGGACGGCAGCCCTCGTAGGGATTCCCAAAGTATTCCGGCAAACACTGACAAGAGCCAGCATCCTGGCGCGAAGTGCACCTGGCATTGACGCCACAGGGACTGGGGTTGCATGGGTCCAATCGATCCAACTGCTGGATTCTCTTCTCCGTACACTGGGTGAAGGGATCACCCTCCATTCCCTCGGGGCAGACGCAACTGGGAGTGTGCGAGAGCACACGACACTCCGCCAAGAGGCCGCACAGACCAGGACAGGGATCGCGACACTTCTGCTGGATGCAAGCCTGATGAGTGGGACACTCGGAGCTGGTAACGCATTCGGGCCGACAGTTCGGCGGAGCGCCAATGTACTCGGGCAGACAGGTGCACGACGGCGTCTCATTGATCTCCCGGCACTGGGCATACGCGCCGCAGGGTGAGGGGAGGCATGGCTGACGCGGCGGCGGCACTGGCGGCTCAATGATCGGCTGGCAACTGACGAAGGGATTGCCCGTGTGGCGGTCCAAGCAGCGACAGAAAGGACTGTGGTTCGTCACATGGCACTGGGCACTGCGGCCGCAGACGCCCGGACAAGGATCGCTGCATTTCTGGTTCAAACATGCCAGGTTCAGGGGACATTCCGCGTTGCTGGTGCACTCCGGACGACAAAGGGTGGACTGCCAATGAAGGGCGCGATGCAGGAGCAAATGGCCTGCTGGTTGGCCACGCGACACTGGGCATTCGGTCCGCAGGGCGAGGGCTGGCAGGGATTCTGCACGTCATCGAGTTCTGTAATATCCAAGACTTTGAAGGGACTCCAAATGCGGGGGACAGTCGATGGATTGGGCTTACGTGGCACAGGGCTACATTGGATGAAGGCATTTCCCTGCATTTCCGCGGGACAGCGACAGTTGGGAATGTGATTCAGGACCTCGCATATCGCATTCGTTCCACATTTCCGGGGCAGGGATCCACACACTTGTGCCGCACACAGGCGCGACTACGATCGCATTCTGTGTGGAGGACGCACTCGGGACGACAACCGGTGTAGGGGTCGCCATGGTACTCCGGCAGACACGAGCATACGCCATTATTGCAGCGGCTATTGGAGCCACAGGGTGAGGGATAACAGGGATCTTGAGGAGGCAGTGGATCTTGAACTGGGATTTTGAAGACACATAAAACATTATTTCCATTGAATGGTGTAGGCTGACCGAAGGGGGCTTACTTTTCTGCGGCGGTTCGGGATACAAACGCTGAATGGATCCCCGATATACCCCAGAAGACAGCTGCAGATTGGGCGTGTGATTGATCACATTGCACTGGGTGTTGAGGCCACAGGAGCCGGGACAGGGATCGCGACACTTCTGATTGATGCACGCCTGATTGCTGGGACACTCCGCATTGATGGAAACATTCGGGTCGACAGTTGGGCGGCGGTCCTAAGAACGGGGCAGGCAAGAGCAGAGGGTGGGCCATAGACATCGCGACACTGGGAATTGGCCCCCACACGGCGAGGGTCACAAGGATCAGGGGTTCTCTTTCACTAGGTCTCCAGGAGGAGCTGAAAAGTGGGTTTGATAGAATTTCTTCCATGGTATTCGAAGTATTCTTTGTGGCTTACGGGGCTGACGGTAGCAGCGGGTGAATGGATCTCCGGTGTATCCGCTCAGACAGCTACAGATGGGATTGTGATTGCGAACGCGACCCTCGGCCTGCTGACCCGCAAACATTCGGACAGGGATCCACGCATTTGCGATTCACACACGCCTTGTCGGCGGCACATTCCGAGCTGCTGGTGCATTCCGGCCGACAAGCCGGGGGACTGCCAATGAACTCGGGGAGGCAGGAGCACACAGCCTGATCGTTGATCTCGCGGCAACGCGAGTTGGGACCGCAGGGTGACGGCTGGCAGGGATTCACATAGATGGCTACGGCGAAAAGGAACACGATGGTCAGAGAAGATCATTGGGGAGACAGAGGACGGATACTCTTACGTGGTTCGTTCTCTACGATGCGACACAGGGTGTAGGGGTCTCCGGTGTAGCCAATCAGACAATTGCATGTGGCCAGGTGATTAACCACCTGGCACTCGGCGATCTGACCGCACACTCCCGGACAGGGATCGCGGCACTTCTGATTCCCGCAGGCTCTGTTCGAAGGACAGTCGGAGTTCAGGACACATTCGGGGCGGCAGCCATCGTAGGGATTGCCAAAGTACTCCCGGCAGACAGGTGCAGGATCCAGCCCCACCGCGCTCCTCGCACTTGGCATTGACGCCACAGGGACGGGATTGCAGGGCTGCAGTACCTCCACGGGGGCATCCCTGACCGGACTACACTGAGTGAATGGATGACCGGTGAAGCCGCTCTCGCACAGACACATGGCCGTGTGACTGAACACCGACAGTTGGCATTCTGTCCGCATAGTCCAGGGCAGGGATCCACGCATTTCTGGTTGATGCAGGCCCTGTTGGTGGGGCATTCTGAGCTGGGAGATGCATTCGGGCTTGCAGTTGGGAGGAGCTCCCAACGAACTCTGGCAGGCAGGAACATGATGGGGAGTCTCCTGAGACGCGACACTCGGAGTTGGGGCCGCAGGGCGAGGGCTGACAGGGGTTTCTGGGGTCGATCATCGCGTTGGGGCAGCTGCTGGCAGCTGACGAATGGATTGCCGGACATGCCCGTGGGGGCAGCTGCAAAAGGACTGTGATTGACCACGTTGCAGAGGGCGTTGAAGCCGCATGTTCCCGGACAGGGATCACGGCACTTCATGTTTTGACACGACTGATCTGCCGGACAGTCCGAGTTGGTGACACACTCCGGTCGGCACTGGGGCGGACTGCCCACGTAGTCCTTCAGGCAGGAGCAGACTGCCGTGTTCTGCACAACGCGGCACTGACTGTTGGTCCGCATGGCGTTGGCTGGCAGGGATTCTGCTGGATGATGGGCTTCGCCGGCACGGGACGACACTCGAAGAATGCGTTGCCGGACGTCCGGTCGGGGACAGCGACAGATGGGTATGTGATTGGTTACTTCGCAAAGGGCATTCACGCCACAGGTGCCTGGACAGGGATCTATGCATTTGTTGCGCACGCAGGCTCGATCTCTGGGACAGTCCGTGTTCAGCACGCTTTCGGGACGACAGGAGACGTAGGGGTCGCCCTGGTATTCGGGTATACACGAGCACTGGCCATTGCGGGCACACGGGCATTCGAGCCGCAGGGCGAGGGATTGCATGGATCGTCGGCGACCGGTGGCGGGGATGTGGGTTCTGGTGGCTTGGGGCTACATTTGGTGAAGGGATTTCCGATATACCCATCGATGCAGGCGCAGAGTGGCGTATGATTGATGACACTGCAGACTGCATCCAGGCCGCAGGCCCCTGGACAGGGATCGCGACACCTTTGATTGATGCACGCCCTATTGGCAGGGACACTCGGCGTTGATGGTGCATTCGGGTCGACAGTTGGGCGCCTGCCCCATGAAGCTGGACAAACAGGAGCACGCGGGCACCCCATTGATGTTGCGGCACTCCGAATTGGGTCCACAGGGTGTAGGCAGACAGGGATCTCTCAGGGGTTCTTGGATCCGTTCGGGCGGGTGGTGCTGTTTAGGACGGATTCTTCGTTCAGTTGGCATTCTTCTACGGGATTGGGTGGGCATACACTTACGTGGAATGGGGAAGCAACGCGTAAAGGCATCGCCAGTGAAGCCACTGAGGCAACTGCAGATGGGACTGTGGTTACGCACTCGACACACGGCATTGCTGGCGCAGCTGTCGCCGGTGCATGGGTCCACGCACTTCTGGTTAACACATGCCTGATGGCTGGGACACTCGGAGGAGATGGTGCATTCGGGTCGACAGGCGGGAGGAGTTCCCACAAAGAGGGGGCAGGCAAGAGCAAACGGCCTGCTCGTTGGCCACACGACACTGGGAATTGGGGCCGCAGGGCGAGGGCTGGCAAGGATTCACGTACTCTTTTTGTGGTGCTAAAAGTGGGCTCTCATTAGTGGATGAGGGAAGGAGAGGGAGGGGACGGTTCTTACGCTCTTGCATTCTGGTGCACTGGCGGTACGGATCCCCCTCATATCCAGTGAGGCAATTGCAGGTTGGGAGATGGTTTACTACCTGGCACTGGGCATTCAGGCCGCATGTTCCGGACAGGGATCCTGGCATTTCAGCTGCTGGCACGCCCTGTTCGAGGGACAGTCCGAGTCCAGCATACATTCCGGCCGACAGCCGGCATAGGGATCTCCGAAATATTCGGGCATGCACTGGCAGGAACCGACGCCATTGCGATCACGGCAAACGGCATTCGGTCCACAGGGACTGGGGCTGCACGGAGTGCGAACCTCGATGTGGCGGATGGTTTCGGGGCTGCACTGCACGAAGGGATCGCCGGTGAAGCCTTGCTGGCAGATGCACTGCACCGCATGGCTCACTACACGACACTCGGCATTGAGACCACAGCGTCCGGGACACGGATCGACGCACTTCTGGTTGACACATGTCATCTGGCTGGTGCAGTCCGAGCTCGTTACACACTCTGGACGGCAGTTCGGAGGCCGTCCAATGTAATGTGTCCAATGTGTCCAATGTATTCCATTGGGAATAGGGGCCACATGGCGATGGACGACAGGGTTCGACTGGGACGAGATCACGCACGGGTTCAACTTGAAGGACAAACATTATTGACAATACTCGCTTAGGGCTTGCCTCTTTCTTACTTTGTGGCTGACAACGGATGAAGGGATTCCCGGTGAAGCGTTCGGGACAGGTGCAGAAGGGACTATGGCTGACCACGGCACAGTTGGCACCTACGCCACAGGTGCAAGGGCAAGGATCTCCGCAACGCTGGTTCAGACACGCCTGCGAGGGCGCGCACTCGGCGTTCGAGGTACACTCGGGGCGACAGGACGGTGGGGCACTGATATAGCTGGACAGGCAGGAGCAAACCGCCTGCTGGTTGACCTCGCGGCACTGGGAATTCGGTCCGCAGGGAGATGGACGGCAGGGATTCGTTTCCACAATAGTTTGCTGGACGGGAGAGCAGCGTATAAAGGCACTGCAGCGGTGCCGTCCGGACAACGGCACATCGGAATGTGATGTATGACATCGCAAATGGCATTCCTCGCCGCACGTTCCTGGACATGGATTCTGGCACTTGCTGCGCAGACAGGCCTTGTCCCTGGGACAGTCGGAGTTGAGGACACATTCCGGACGACAGCCGGCATAGGGATCGCCATGGAACTCGGACAAACAGCTGCAGACACCGTTGGAGCACTGCGCGTTCGGACCACACGGCGATGGGTTGCACGGATCCACATATTCACCTACGTACGATGGGGTTTTGCAGTTAGGGAGGGGACTCAGCATCAAGGATCAAGGATTAGGCTTACTTTGAACGGGTTCGGGGTGGCGACAGACGACAACTGCTGAACGGATCCCCAGTATAGCCTACGGGACAGACGCAAATGGGCGTGTGATTCACCACATTGCATTCTGCATCGTAGCCACAGGACCCTGGACATGGATCGATACATTTTTCACGGATGCAGGCCAGATTCGAGGAACACTCGGCACTGATGGTGCATTCGGGACGACAGTTGGGTGGTGCTCCAAGGAACTCGGGCAGACAGGAGCAGGAGGGCACGCCCTGCACATTGCGACACTGGCTGTTCAAGCCGCAGGGCGATGGCATGCAGGGATCACGATCAACACGCTGAACAACAGGCGGCGGGGCTAAAGAGGTTGCATGTCTGTTAGATCTCTCTGTTTGCCAGATAGAGTGGATGGTGGTCTTACGTGGCAGGGCATAACAACGGGTAAAGGAGTCGCCGGTGAAGCCTTGACGGCACTGACAGAGTAGACCATGATTCCGAACCCGGCACTCGGCATTGATGCCGCATGTACTCGGGCAGGGATCCTGGCATCGCTGACTTATGCACGCCTTGTCCGTGGGACACTCGCTGCTGAGCACGCATTCGGGACGGCAGTTGGGGGGCAGACCGATGTACAGCTCGATGCAGGAGCAGACGGCCTGGCCGTTGAGTTCGCGACACTGAGAGTTGGGGCCACACGGCGAGGGGTGGCAGGGTTGTGCGGGTTCGGCCAGACGGATAGCTAGAAAGGAGGACGGGACAATCTCACGATGGATCTCAGATGGGTGTGTGGGTATCTTACGTTGGGCTGGCTCCACATGGCAGTAGCGGTAGGGATCACCAATGTATCCGATGCGGCATGTACAGGTGGGCAGATGATTCGTAACGCTGCAGTCCGCATTGGTGCCGCAGGTGCCGGGGCAGGGATCGCGACATTTTTGCTGCTGGCAGGCCTTGTTCGTGGGACAGTCCGAGTTTCGGATGCATTCGGGGCGACAGGACTGGTAGGGATCGCCAAAGTAATCGGGCAGGCACTGGCAGGAGCCGATCCCATTGCGTTCGCGACATACAGCATTCGAGCCGCAGGGATTGGGTTCTCAGGGCGTCACCTGTTCATTGACAATGCGCTCTGTTTTTGTTAGGGGGGGTAGAAAGTGATTTGAGTGGGAGAGACGGAGAAACGAAGGTCAAGAGAGTTTTAATTATAATTCTTCAGTGGATCTCGGGTTTAGTACAGTACAACACACACCTGGCGTTGGCCTTTGCGGCTCTGATTAATCCAATTGTGGTTACAGATTACAGTACGTTTACGGTATAGTTAGGTGTTGGCATTATATTTTGCTTCAGTTAACGAAATTTGCAAATAAAATTGCATTTCAAGTGCAGCGCTTTATGTAGTGTGTGCTGCGATATTTACCGCTTTGCTTAGTGTTGTTAAACGCTGTGCGCTGCGTGTGTGCGGTGGTAGTGGCAGTGTTGTGTAAGTGCTGTGGTTGTGCCATTGCAGTGGCGTTACTTTTTTTTCGTGTCGTAAGTAAAACAATTGTCTATTGCAGGGGTTATATCCTTGGATTTATTGATTTCTTTGGTTAAACTACAGTTTTATGTTATACATTTGAATACTCTAATTTGTTCTTGACTAGAATTTAGTTTAGATCTTTGGCGTAACGTAGATTTTGCTTTTGGTAGGGGGAACAACAACGCAGTACTCAATTTCGGGTAATTTTTGGGTTAGGTTTCAATTTGTGTTGTGGGGTAGTAAGCAACTGGAGAGACATGGTCGTGTGGTGGGCCAAATAACGAATTAGGTAAAAGCATGTCAACAGATTTGGTTCCCGCCCAAAAAAAGGCGGAGGCAACAGCAATATCATCAGGGGTTAGGAGCCAAGAGTCAAGGCGGGTATTTTTGTTTTTTGGTGGGTGAGCGGAGGCATTATAATACGGCTTGGATTTGGTTTTTGGTAAGGAAGCAAAAATAAAGGCGTGACAAGTTTGCATATTGTATATTCAGGCGTTAGGGGCAAAAGCAAGTATAAAATATTAAAAGTTAAAAGCTAATCAAAACCTTTGATTACCCCCAGCATACAGACACTTTCAGCGTCACGTTCACTCCGACAGCTCGTACAGACTGCGTGCTCGTTGAAATTTGCATTTTGCGTATCGAAGTGAAATTGTGGAATTCGATTCGGGTGTAGAAAACTTCATTTTGCAATGCATTGTGCCAGTAAGTGCGGTAATCATAGATTTTGATGAATATATTTGTATGTATGTAATTTGTGCTGCCTAAGGAGCGTATTAGAACAAGTAACACGCGTAGTGAGGTGGAACTGACTTGAAGAGGTCTGCATGAATGCATTCTGCTCTCCATCCATTCCAACAGTGAATGAATGAGTGAGTTTGTGTGCCCCAATTAATAATACATTCTTGCAGACCTCTAATGAGAATACAAAAAAGTTAGTGCAAACAAATAGTGCTTTAAAGTAAATGGAATATGCAATTGCAGCGCTTGCACTTGCAGTTTGTGTTTGGAAAAATACTTCATTTATTGTAATACGCAAAGAACGAATGTGAAACTTCAAGTATAGGGGTTTTTTACGAGGGGTACTTTCATTACAATTCAACTTTGGGGATTTCAAAGAGTTTCACATTCAAGAAGGGACCATCCAAGGCGTAAACAATGTATGGTGTGTGCATATATGTAAGCTCCAGATCGAGATCTCATTTTTAGAGCGCATGTTGTACTGGGCGCCCAGTAAGCAGCAAACCAAAACCACATAAAAGTATGTATAAAAAGCTGGTTTACGCCTTGGCCTACTAGATATTCGTAAAAGATAAATGAAAACGGGGTCCTACCTTGTTCCTTTTGACAGCCGGTGAACGGATCTCCTGTGTAGCCCACATCGCATGTGCAGATGGGTTGATGATTCGCCACATTGCAGCGGGCATTGAAGCCGCAGGCATTCACGCAGGGATCGGAGCACTTCTGGCGTATGCAAGCCTTGGTCGGTGGACATTCGGGATTGATGGAGCACTCGGGCCGGCAGCTGGGTGGCGTTCCAATGAAGGTGGCGGCGCACGAGCAGGCGGCATTTCCATTGAGCACCTTACACTCCGAATTTGGTCCGCAGGGTGATGGTTGACATGGTTCCGTGGGTGTTGGCGGCTTGCGCTCTTCCTGGAAGCAGCGCGTGAACGGATCTCCCGTGTATCCTGAATTGCAGGAGCACGATGGATTGTGGTTGATCACTTGGCAGCGTGCGAACTGGCCGCAGGCGCCGGGGCAAGGATCGACACACTTCCTCTGTACGCAGGCAGTTTGCAGGGAGCATTCGGAGCTGACTATGCACTCTGGCTTGCAGGCGGGCGGTGAGCCCAGCATGCCTTGCTGGCAGGCACACACCGGTCCTTGGGCCGACACATGACACAGGCTGTTGGGACCGCAGGGATTCGGCTGGCATGGGTCCTTGGCCACGGGCGTCTCCAGGCGGCAGTGCACGAACGGATCACCCGTGTAGCCCTGCAGGCAGCTGCAGATCGGTATGTGATTGGAGACATCGCACTGCGAGTTCTGGCCACACACTCCGGGACAGGGATCCACGCACTTCTTGTTCAAGCACGCCTTGACGGGGGCGCAGTCGGTGCTCAGCGTACACTCCGGACGACATCCCGTATAGGGATCGCCCTGGTAATCTCTCAAGCAGGTGCAGGTGCCCTCGTGGCATTCCGCATTGGCTCCACACGGTTGCAGGTCGCAGGGATCCTGTGGTTCGTTCAGTGGAGGCTTCGTGATCGTCTCAATGATCTCCACGCATTGAACGAACGGATCGCCGGTAAATCCACCGCGGCAGGTGCATATGGCCAGGTGGTTCTGGATGCGACACTCGGAGTTGATGCCGCAGGAGCCGTCGCAGGGATCGCGACACTTCTCGGCAATGCAGGCGCGGTTCGGCGAGCAGTCCGTATTTACAATGCACTCGGGTCGGCAGTTGGGCGGTGCCCCAATGTAGTTGGGCAGGCAGGAGCAGGAGGCCTGCTCGTCGCGCACGCGACACTCTGAGTAGAGGCCGCATGGCGAGGGCTGGCAGGGCGTCTTGGACTCCGGAGCATCCTTAGGTCCGGCAACGGCAGGCGCTGGATAACAACGGGCGAACGGATCGCCTGTCAAATCCGAGCTGCAGATGGGATTGTGATTGATCACCTCGCACTTGGCATTGATGCCGCACGTCTTTGCACAGGGATTGGCACAGCGGAACTTGTGGCAGGCCTTGTTCGGCTGACACTCGGCGTTCACCGTGCATTCCGGCTTACAGTTCGGCGGAGCTCCAATGAAGCTCTCCAGGCAGGAGCAGACGGCCAGTCCGTTGGCAATGCGACACTTGCTGTTGGCGCCGCAGGACGAGGGGATGCAGGGATCGGCGACTGGCGGTGGCGTTGTGGGCTCCACGCGGCGACAGTTGGTAAACGGATCGCCCGTGTGACCATCGAGGCAGACACAATTGGGCACATGATTCACGGCATAGCACTGGGCATTCAGGCCGCAAATTCCCGGGCAGGGATCCTGACACTTGTTCCGTATGCATGCCTTGTCCGTGGTACAGTCCGAGCTGAGCACGCACTCGGGTCGGCAACCCTCGTAGGGATTGCCTTGGTACTCGTCGATGCACTTGCAGGCAGCAGCTCCGTTCCGTTCAATACACTCGGCATTGGCGCCACAAGGCGAAGGTTGGCACGGCTTGACCGGTTCCTCCTGTTGCGGCACACACTACACAAACGCGTTGCCAGCATATCCCGCTGGGCAGGAGCACGAGACCGTGTGACCGATGACGCGGCATTCGGCGTTTGTGCCACGAGCCGGGGCAGGGATCGCGACACTTGTTGTTGATGCAGGCCTGCGTCGAGGCACAGTCGGGATTGATAATGCACTCGGGCCGGCAGTTGGGTGGCGAACCAAAGAACTCTGGCTGGCACTGGCACACGGGTCCTCGCTCATCGGGCTTGCATATGGAGTTGGGTCCGCACGGCGAGGGCACACATGGATCTCTGGGGGCTTCCTTAACATCTGGAGGCGTGGCCACGGCTATCTCTGTGCACTGCTTGAAGGGATCTCCAGTTCGGCCAGGAGGGCAGCCACAGATGGGGCTGTGATTGATGACCTCGCAGCGTGCCTCCAGGCCACAAGCAGCGGCGCAGGGATCCACGCACTTCTTGTTGACACAAGCCTGTAGCGCAGAGCATTCGCTAGATACCACGCATTCGGGACGGCATTGAGGCGGCGCCCCAATGTATCCTTCCAGGCACGAGCAGACGGCATGTCCGTTGACATCGCGGCACTGGCTGTTCGAGCCGCATGGGGACGGAGCACAGGCCTGGACTTTAGGTGTATCTTCGATGAGCTTCACGCGACAATTGGTAAACGGATCGCCCTCGTAGCCCTGCAGACAGGAGCATACGGGTATGTGGTTCATCACCTCGCAAACGGCATTGTTGCCACAGATTCCGGGGCAGGGATCCACACACTTGTTCCGCATGCAGGCCTTGTCCCGCGGACAGTCCGCCGAGAGGGTACACTCGGGTCGGCAGCCTTCGTAGGCGTTTCCTTGATAGTTATTCTGGCAGCGGCACTCACCGGCAAAGCAGTCGGCATTCGGGCCGCATGGACTCGGATTGCACGGATCGTTGGCGACCGGCGGCGGGGTCTTGCCTTCTGGTTTCTCGGTACAGCGCACAAACGGATCGCCTTCGTAGCCCTCGATGCAGTTGCAAATGGGCAGATGGTTCAGAACATGACACTTGGCCTCGAAGCCACAGGAACCAGAGCACGGATCGCCGCACTTTTGATTGATGCACGCCTCCGTGGGTCCGCATTCGGAGTTCAGGACACATTCCGGCCGACAACGTGGTGGGGCGCCAATAAAGTTCGGCAAGCAGGAGCAGGCCGGACTATTGCCCACAATCTGGCATTGGGACCGCAAGGTGAAGGCACACAAGATGCAGCTGGAGGTTCTGCTGTAGTCACATCGTGTGTTATAGCTGCGGATGGGACGGGACGAACATTAGAATTTCTCTTTCATTGATTCTTTCATATACTTACGTATCCTAGAGCACTGAACGAAGGGATCACCGCTCATGCCGCGGGGGCATGTGCAGATGGGGCTGTGGTTCTTGGTACTGCAGATGGCACGAATGCCGCAGGTGTGCAGACATGGGTCCACACACTTCTTGTTCACACAGACACTCCGCACTGACTATACACTCGGGTCCGCAGTTGGGCGGCTGATTGACGAAGCCCGACTGGCAGGAGCATACGGCCTGGTTGTTGATGCTGCGACAGTTGCTGTTGGGGCCGCAGGGCGAGGGATTGCACGGGTTCAGCGGTGGACGCGGGGTAACCGGCACGGGCTTGCAGCTGAAGAACGGATCTCCGCTGTAGCCGGCCGGACAGGTGCAGGTGGGCACATGGTTATCCACTGTACAGAGAGCGTACTCCCCGCACATATTGTCGCAGGGATCGATACACTTGAAGCGGACACACGCCTGGGCGGCCGTGCACTCATCGTTGATCTCGCACTCGCGTCGGCAGCCGCGCTGTGCATCGTAGGGATTGCCCTCGAAGCCCTCATGGCAGTAGCAGGCGCCGGCTCCGTTGCGTTCGCGACACTCGGCATGGGGGCCGCACGGCGAAGGTTCGCATGGCGATGTGGGCGCCTCGGTGGGCAGCAGCAGGGGAATCAGCTGGCACCCGAAGAGCGGCTCACCCTCGTAGCCATCGGCACAGGAGCAGACGGCATTGTGTTGCACTACCTGACAGACGGCGTTACTGCCGCATGAGCCAGGACAGGGATCGACGCAGCGCTCCTGCTGGCAGGATAGATGATTCTGGCACTCGTCGTTGTTGGTGCACTCTGGCCGGCAGTTGGGCGGACGTCCAATGAAGTTGGCATTGCAGGAGCAAGCCGCTTGGTTTCCAATCTCGCGGCAAATGGCATTGGGGCCACAGGGTGAGGGCACACACGGCTCTTGATATTCCTTGGCATCTTCGCTGGGTGTACAGCCGCTGATGGGATCGCCGGTCATGCCGGGCACGCAGCTGCAGATGGGATTGTGGTTCACCACCTGGCACTTGGCATTGTTGCCGCAGGATCCGCGACAGGGATCGGCGCACTTCTGATTGATGTACGCCCGATTCTGGGGGCACTCGGAGCTGACGACACATTCCGGCTTGCAGCTGGGCGGTGCTCCGATGTAGCCCTCTAGGCAGGAGCAGACCGCATGGCTGTTCGTGTCCAGGCACTGGCTGTAGGGTCCACAGGGCGAGGGCTGGCATGGGTTCTCGGGTCGTCGGGTCACCACTTCAAGCAGAGCGCAGGAGCGATGCGGATCACCCGTGTAGCCCTCGAAGCAGTTGCAGTTGGGACCATGATTTAGGACACGGCACTCGGCATTGATTCCGCAGGCACCGGGACAAGGATCCTGGCACTTGCTGTTGATGCAGGCACGGGAGCGATCGCAGTCATCGTTCTGGACACATTCCGGGCGGCAGCCACTGTACGGATCGCCAAAGTATTCAGGCAGACAGGTGCAGGAGCCGGCGCCGTTGCGCTCGCGACACACGGCATTGGCGCCGCATGGACTGGGATTGCAGGGATTGCGTGGCGCCTCCGTTGGCGTAACTATATAGGGCAGAAAATAAGGGAAAAGTGGTGTGAGTGGAGGAGGATAAGGTATACGTTGGCATGCAATTGATATATACTTTGCTGTACAACAGCACAGCCGGAGAACGGATCGCCGGTGTAACCAGGCACGCATTCGCATGTTGGACGATGCTTGATCACCTGGCACAGAGAGTTCTGGCCACAAGCTCCAACACACGGATCTGCGCAGCGTTGGTTGACACACGCGAGATTCGCCGGACAGTCCGCACTACTCATGCACTCGGGCCGACAGTTGGGCGGCCGGCCGAGGTAGTCCGGCAGACAGGAGCATGCAGGCGAACCGCGCACATCGATGCATTTCGAGTTGGGTCCGCACGGCGAGGGTACACAGGGATTACCGGACTTTTCGGGTATTGTGGCACCGCCCAGCTGCAATGGGACGCATGTATTGAAAACAAGTGAGAATCAACGAGGAGAATGCGAGAGAGTAGGCTCTGGGCACGACAAGCAAGAGAGTACCTTCGGAAGTAAATCTGAAGAATATAAATATGAGAGCTACGGGAGAATCAACAGGAATCATAATGAGAGCGTACGTTTTCGTCGTTGGTTGAACGGATTGTACTGGCGTTTCTTATAGGAAATTCATCCTCCAGGTGTTCTATAATCTTTGGATATTATCTATCTCATCATTTTCATATGGCAACCGTGATTAAAAGAGTGCATCCCAACTGGTGGAATCTGGTATCCACCAATTGGCTTGCCCTCCCTTCGAAGGGGACATCGTATCATGCTTACACAATATTTTAGTGCACCGATTGAAGGGATCTCCGGTATAGCCTGGGGCACAGGAGCATGCAGGATAGTGGTTTATGACCTGACAACGTGCCTCAATGCCGCATGTGCCCGGACACGGGTCCACACACTTCTGATTCTGACAGTTGAGATCTTGGGCACAATCGGAGCTTATGATACACTCGGGCCGACAGTTGGGGGCAGAGCCAACGAGTCCGGGCTGGCAAGAGCACACGGCATGGTTATTGATCTCCCGACACTGGCTGTACGGACCGCACGGCGAGGGTCTACAGGGATTCACATCGGCCAGGGCTGGGGGAATGGGTTTTAGTAGGGTTTTAGTCTTGTTTTGTTTCTTTTAGGATTTGCAGGTACACCTACGTGGGGGTGGGAGTTGGGGTATTTCACGGCATGCACTCGACGGATTTCCAGTGTAGCCGGCCAGGCACGAGCAGCTGGGCAAGTGATTGGACACACGACACTCGGCGTTCAGGCCACAAACGCCAGGACAAGGGTCCACGCATTTCTGGTTGACGCAGGACTTATCGCGTGAGCAATCGCTATTAACCACGCACTCGGGACGACAGCCACTGTACGGATCGCCAAAGTACTCTGGCAGACACGTACAGGAGCCGGCGCCGCTGCGTTCACGGCACTCGGCATTGGGGCCACAGGGCGAGGGTTGGCAGGGTGTCAGGCGCTCATCGGGTTCTGGCAAAGCTGCAGGTCACACGAAACGAGATTAGGTCGGATATCAAAAGGGAAACAGCTGCGAAGTGACGCGCTTACGTTGCGGATTGCAGCCAGCGAATGGATCGCCAGTGAAGCCATTGTCGCACGAACAGATGGGCGAGTGGCCAACGACACTGCAGTAGGCATTGAAGCCGCATGACCCCGGACAAGGGTCTGTGCAGCGCTCATTGATGCACGCCAGATTGGCAGGACACTCGGAATTGAGGGTACACTCTGGGCGACAGTTGGGCGCACGGCCCACGAAGTTGGGCAGACAGGAACAGACGCCAGTCTCGCCCACCACGCGACATTGGGAGTTGCGGCCGCAGGGACTGGGCACGCAGGGATTCTCATTGGACTTTGGCTGCTCCGGTTCTTGTTGCCGTGGAGCGCATCGCACAAACGGATCGCCGCTGTAGCCACTGGGGCACGAGCAGATGGGATTGTGATTCGTGACCTTGCAAATGGCCTCGTGGCCCCAGGTTCCGGGACAGGGGTCTACACAGCGCAAGTTCACGCAAGCCCTGTCTTGAGAGCACTCGGAACTAACAGAGCACTCCGGTCGACAGGCGGGCGGAGTGCCCACATAGTTGGTGGTGCATGAGCAGACCGCATGTCCGTTCACCTCGCGGCACTGGCTGTACGGGCCGCATGGCGACGGGCGACACGGCTGGACAGGCGGGGCCACTAGAATTCATGGGGAAATAAAATTCATTCAGCCGATGTTTCAGGAGAAGTGACACAAAGATAGACCCTACATTTTGGTATTTCCCGGCAGTACTGCGATGGGTTGCCCGTGTATCCGGAGGGGCAGCTGCAGCTGGGCGCGTGATTAATCACATGACACTCGGCGGAGACACCGCAAACACCTGGGCAGGGATCGCGGCACTTGTTGTTGAGGCAGGCGCGGTTCTTCGAACAGTAGCTGTTCAGGACACACTCCGGCCGGCATTCGGTGTACGGATCGCCACTGTATTCGGGCAGGCAGGAACAGGAGCCAACACCATTGCGCTCGTTGCACACCGCATTGGCGCCGCAGGGACTGGGATTGCAGGGCTGTGCAACCTCGGGCGGAACGATAGCTAAATGAATGAAGTGGGGAAAGGGTAGCAGTTTAGCAATGTGGGGCAATGACGTTGGCGTTGCGTCGAGTGTGGCTTGACCCTTACTTTGTGGACTACACTCGGAGAATGGATCGCCCGCATAGCCCTCGAGGCAGCGGCATATCGGTCTATGATTATTTACAAGACACGTGGTCTGACTTCCGCAGGTACCCACGCAGGGATCCCGGCACCGCAGATTGATGCAGGCCATGTTGCCGGCACACTCCGAGTTCGAAGTGCACTCGGGTCGGCAATTTGGCGCCCTACCCACATAATGTTGCAAGCATGAGCAGACGGGCTGATCATTAGCCGACACCCGACACTGAGAGTTTGGCCCGCACGGCGAGGGCACGCATGGCTCGACGCGATCATGGACGATGGGGCGTTCTAAATGTACCATCACACCAGGACACCAGGAAACCACAAATATGATAACATCATGCACAAAGATAAGCCATAAAATAGAGTACATACAAAGGAGATAATAAAGTAAAGATATAGTATACATATATATATAGAGAGGATGATGTCAAGCATGGAATGAAATGGAGAAAGCACTAGAGGGGCACTTCCGTGATGGTGATGATGAGAGAACATTTCGGTTTCTATACCCTTGCAGATGAATAGACTCGAAGAGTGTACCCTATCTCCACCACTAGCTCTTTCCCTAGAGACTAGTACTCCTTCAAAGTATATGGGCTGGAAAAATCTCGGAGCAATCGGAGCAATATCAGAAATGGGAGGGCGTCTGTCCGGTTTTAAAAGATAGATATCTTGATTCACAAATCGTATTTGAACAATCGGTTCTACTTGAATTTTCTTCCAGATTCGACATCGGACAGACATGTAGAATAGTCTTCAAGAAAGAAACTCTCTCAAATCTCTTAATCTGCAAAAGTATTCGAACCTTCGGCTAGCCGAAAGTACGTCCTTCTTCTCGAGTTTTGCCTTCGATTCTTACTTTCTTGTGGGAAGCAGCGCACAAATGGATCACCGCTGAAGCCGGGGCTGCAGGAGCAGATGGGATTATGGTTAACGACACGGCAGAGCGCATTGTTGCCACAGGTGCCCGGGCAGGGATCTTTGCACCGCTCGTTCAGACACGACTTGTCCTGCGCGCACTCCGAGCTGCTCATGCACTCGGGCCTGCAGTTGGGTGGGGATCCAATGTAGTTGTGTACGCAGGAGCATACTGCATGGCCGTTGACCGGGCGGCAGTTGCTGTAGAGGCCGCAGGGCGAGGGTTGGCATGGATTTTCGGGTACTATTGGGTCGGGATCTAGATCGAGCAGGAGGGCGGTAAATGGCGACAATTAGTAGGGTTTCAGCGGGGGCCTAGCTTTGTGGGGGTCTTACAGCGTGGCGTCTCGGGTACCAGGTGACAGCCGACAATGGGGTTTCCCGTGTAGCCGGGCAGGCATTCACAGTTGGGTGCATGATTGAAGACAGCGCACAGGGCGCTGTGGCCGCACATCCCGGGACAGGGATCGACGCATCTCTGATTGACGCACGCCCGCGACTTGGGGCAGTCCGAATTGATGACGCACTCGGGGCGACACTCGGTGTACGGATCCCCAAAGTACTCGGGCAGACATTTACAGGCAGCAGCGCGATTTCGCTCCTCGCACAAGGCATTCAAGCCGCAAGGACTGGGGCGACAGGGTTGTAAGACCTCAATGGGCGCTGTGTGGCACAGAAATGGTGGGGTTTAAGTATTTTGGGCAACGAGTCTGAGTATTTCCCTAGAAGGACCTACTTTCTAAGATCTTGTAGCAGCCGGTGAAGGGATCGCCACTGAAGCCAGGCTCGCACATGCACACCGGAGCATGTTGACTGACATGACAGAGGGCATTGTTGCCGCAGGAACCGATGCACGGGTCGGCACAACGCGCATTCATACAGGCCATCCGGGCGGGGCACTCTGAATTGATGCTACACTCCGGCCGGCAGGCCGGCGGACGTCCAATGTAGTTGGCCACGCAGGAGCACACGGCTCCAGTGCCTGGCACTGGGAGTTGGGACCGCAGGGCGATGGTACGCAGGGATTCAATGGCACGATGGGGTCTGGTATCGGCTCCGGTTCTACAAACATACGACATATCAATTGTGGCGCTATCCAAGAGAGGATTGGAGTTCTCATAGTGAAACCTACTTCTTTCGGGCAGACACTGATGGAACGGATCACCGGTGTAGCCGTCGATGCAGCTACAAATGGGGGAGTGATTCGTACAGCGACAACGCGCATTGTAACCACAAGTGCCGGGACAGGGATCGCGGCAACGTTGATTGATACACGCCCTATCCGAGGGACATTCTGCACTTGTGCGGCACTCGGGCTTGCAGTTGGGGGGAACGCCAAGGTAGTCCGGAAGGCAAGCGCAAACGGGGTGATCTCCAGCCACGTGGCAAGTGCTAAACAGGCCACAAGGCGATGGTCTACAAGGGTCTTTGGGCAAGGGCAGGTACATATCTAAGGAGAGGATGGGCAAAGAGCTTTTAGAGAAGAGTTTTTGGGACCGAGAGATGGTTGCGTAGGCATACTTGAGGGACGCTCGACGCAGGCGCGTTGCGGATTGCCTGTGAATCCGGGTTCACAGCTACAAACCGCCTGGTGATGGGCCACACGGCAGATGGCATTGAAGCCACAGGCATTGGCGCAGGGATCGCCGCACTTCATGTTGATGCAGGACCTGCTCGCGGGACAATCACTGTTCTGCACGCACTCGGGGCGGCAGTTTATGTACGGATCACCGAAATAGTTCTGGATGCAGCTGCATGACCCGGCACCATTGCGTTCACGACAGATGGCATTGGCACCACATGGGGATAGGTGACGTGGATCGGCTGGTTGGTCCGGAACCACGACTAACATAGCAAGCAAAACCCTCAATGATGCTGTGTAGAGCAGTGGGCATTGAAGCCACAGATTCCAATGCAAGGATCCTCGCATCTCTGGCGAATGCAAGCCCGGTTGGATGAACAATCCTGATTGATAACGCACTCGGGTCGGCAGCTCGGTGGGGCTCCGAACATGCCCGGAGCACAGGAGCATTCGGCGCGATTGTTCACATTCCGACAATTGGCATTGGGTCCACATGGACTGGGCAGGCAGGGATCCAAATTCTTTGGCGGTTCAGATGCTGCAGGAAACGCAAAGTAATGCATTAGATTCGCCTAATATTTCTGCTTATATTGGACTTACGTTTAGGTACACATTGTTCAAAGGGATCGCCAATGTAGTCTCTGGGACAAGAGCATATCGGGTTGTGGTTATTAACTTGACACTTGGCATTGAAGCCGCAGGTTTCGGCGCACGGATCAGTACACTTCTGGTTGATGCACGCCAGATGTTGCGAGCATTCCGAGCTGACGACGCACTCAGGCCGGCACTGTGGCGGGGCTCCAAAGTAACCCACTTGGCAGCTGCACGTGGGATGACCCTCGACCGTTCGGCAGATGCTGTTGGGGCCACAAGGATTCGGTTCACAGACGCTCACAGGTCCCACAGGCATACGCTTGCAACCCACGAACGGATCTCCCTCGTGACCGCGGGTGCAACTACAGGATGGCAAGTGGTTGACCACGGCACACTCGGCATTGGCTCCACAGGCAGCTGTGCAAGGATTGCGACAGTGCTGTTTGATGCAGGCCAGCGACGAGGGGCATTCCGAGTTATAGATACATTCGGGCCGGCATCCAGTGCTGTACGGATCTCCAAAGTACGGTTCAATGCAGCTACAGCGAGCGGCATTGTTGTGTGGTGTGCACACGGCATTCTCGGCACAAGGATTGGGATAGCAGGGTCCAAAGTCATCACCCGATTCTGTGAGTGGAAGTTGTTTCGGATTAGATATCCTGATTTTATAGACAAATAATTGTACTTACTCTCTTCTTTTGTCTGAGAGCAGCCGATGAAGGCATCTCCCTCGTAACCCTGGTCGCAGCTGCAGTGAGCGGAGTGGGCGATGACCGTACAACGGGCGTTGTGTCCACAGACATTGGCACAGGGATTCTGGCACTTCTCATGGATGCAGGCCTTGTCCGAAGGACACTCGCTGCTCAGTGTGCACTCTGGCCGGCAATAGGGCGGGCTGCCAATGTAGTTGGCCACACACGAGCAGACCGGGCGGTTCTGTTTGATCTGGCAAATGGAGTTGGGTCCGCAGGGCGAGGGCACGCACGGATTCTTGGGCAGATCCACCTCGCGACCCGGCTCGGGTATGGGAGAGCAGGCAACAAACGGATCTCCCTCGAACTTTTGCTCGCACGAGCAAATGGGATTGTGATTGAGCACCTCGCAGCGGGCTCCGACACCGCAGATACCGGGACATGGATCCGCGCATCTCTGGTTGAGACAGGCCTGGTTGGGAGCCCACTCGGAGCTTACGACGCACTCGGGCTGGCAGACGGGCGGGGCTCCCTTCAAGTTTGGCAGGCAGGAGCAGGCGGCATATCCCTCGGGGGTGGCCAGACAGCGGGAATTGGGACCGCAGGGCGAGGGTTCGACCGGATGTGGCCTCACAATGGGCGGTGAAACGGGTGGCAGATAGTAAGGATTACAGGCAATGGAGGCATCTCCACTGTAACCCTCAGAACAGATGCACACTGGGGCATGGTTCACCACACGGCAGACGGCATTGATACCACACACGCCAGCACAGGCTTCCACGCACTTGGAGTTCATGCAGGCCTTGTCCGCGGGACAGTCGCTATTGAGCACGCACTCTGGACGACAGCCAACATGTGGATCACCAAAGTATCCATTGCGGCAGACGCAGGCGAGGCCACCGGGCGCCCGCTTGCATTCAGCATTGGCGCTGCACTGCAGCTTTGCGCAGCTTGGCGCTGGAGTTGGTACAATTGCCGATTGAATGGTGCACTGCTCGTATGGATTGCCATAGAGTCCTACGGGGCAGGAACACACCGGATTGTGTTCGTACACATTACACTGGGCACTGCGTCCGCAGGAGCCGGGGCAAGGATCGAGGCAGCGCTGACCCAAACAGGCACGATCGAAGGGACAGTCGGAGTTGGCCACACACTCGGGTCGGCAACGTGGATTCTGCTGGGCATTGGGTCCAAAACAGGGATCACACAGTGCCACACCATCGCCATAGACCGAGCAGACGTCGTGCGGTCCGCAGGGGGACGGGGCACACGGGTCGCGCGACACGTTCTTCAAAATTCCAATCGGCACGCATTGAAGGAAGGCATCGCCGGCGAATCCGTCCAAGCAATGGCACACTGGCGTATGCTGGCGGACATTGCAAATGGCATTGATACCGTAAATAGCTCCTACACAGGGATCCACGCACTTGTGGTTAATGCACGACAGGATCTCGCCGCAGTCCGAGTTGATGTCGCACTCCGGCTGGCAGCCCGACTCTGGATCGCCTAGGTAGCCGGGAATGCAGGAGCAGACGGCGCGATTGTTGAGCAGTTTGCACTCGCTATTGACGCCACAGGGACTGGGCACACACGGATTGGTCTTCGGATGGTCCAGGGCATAGCAACGGACTCCTGGGTTGCCAGTCAAGCCAGCATTGCACGAGCAAACGGGGTGATGCTCCTCAACGCGGCAGTTGGCTCCATGGCCGCAAGCTCCGGGGCAGGGATCGTAACAGCGGAAGCCCATGCAGGCTTTGCTGTGGGGACAATCGGCATCAACCTGGCACTCATAGCCGTGGCAACCCACCAGCGATGTGGGATCACCGGAGAGACCTTCGGGACAAACGCAGGCGGTCTGTCCATCGCCGGCGACAACGCAATTGGCATTGGGTCCGCATGGATTCGGGTCACAGACGGTGCGACTTGGCTCGCGGCATCCTTGGTAGGCATCGCCGACATATCCTGAGCGACAGTAGCATTCCTCACGATTACCGGCCACATAGCAGTCGGCATTTCGGCCGCAAGGACCTGGCTGGCAGAGCTCAATTGACACCGCGGGCTTCTCGCACAGCCTGAAGGGATTTCCGATCTTGTTGTCCGGACAGTAGCACACTGGTTGGCGCGACGAGTCGCAGATGGCACCAGTGCCACAGGGGCTGGGATCGCATGGATTGATGGGTTCCACACAGCCACGAATGGTGTTGGGGCTCTCCACGTAACCCGGCAGGCAGGTGCACTTGGAGAAGCCGTTGCTCAGGACGGTGCACTGTGTGTTGGGGCCGCACGGCGACGGTCCGCATGGGTTCGACGGCAGCTCGCAGGCTATCAAAGGGGGCTGACCCTCGTATTCGGGCAGGCAGAAGCAGACGGATTGCCCATCCACGCGACGACATCCGGAGTTGGGTCCACAAGGATTCGGTGTGCATTCATCGCCTTCCGGGACTGCATAATCAAGAGTAATTAGTTTTTTGTTTATTGGTAGTCCTTAAGGAATACTTACTGCAGTTCTTGAATGGATTTCCTGTGAGTCCCTTGGGACAGTAGCAAATGGGATTGCCGTTGTCCAGTTCACACAGGGCACTGAGGCCACAGGGATTGGGATCGCAAGGATTCTGCGGCGGACTGCAGCCCACCTGGGGATTTCCATTGTATCCAGGCGGACACTTGCACACCCCACGATGGTTGATCACATCGCAGAGTGCAAAGGCGCCGCACTGACAGGGCGATGCACACTTTCCATTGATGCAGGCCTGACTAGAATCGCACTCGGTGTCGGCACGACATCCCTGCAGCGGCGAACACTGCACATAGGCATTGCCTAGGAAGCCGGGCAGACAGCGACAATCAGTTCCATGGTTGATTGGTACGCACTCGGCATTCTCGCCACAGGAATCCTCTTGGCAGGGATTGATGCAGCGACGGTTGAGGCGATCGCAGAGTTTCGTCGGTGGACAGTCCTCGTTGTATTGGCAGACATGGGTGCGTGCTATTGGTTTGGGTTACGATTACGGGTGCGATATTCGGGTTGTACGGTTGTGGGTGTATTTATAGTTGAGGTGTCGGGACGGTACAAATTTTATACATGGTGTATACGTGGTGTACGGGTATTTGTACAGTGTTTATGAAAAAGAGAGCGTTTGGGAAACGAAACGATGTGTAAGATTAGCAAAGGATTCCTTGGAGGACAACAGAGATGTGCCATATACTGTGTGCTATAGCGTTTTAGCGATACTAACCTGGCTGACAGCCGACACGTCCATTGCCCTGGAAACCATCGGCACAACTGCAGTCGGCCGCATGGTTGGTGTTGATGCAAATGGCATTCGTGGCACAGGGATCGTGAACATCGCATGGATGCTGGCATCTCTCATTGATGCAAGCCTCCGTTACTCCGCAGTCGGAATTGTCTGTACATTCAACTTAAAAGTGAAGGAATTTTATTAACTTATGTCGGACATAATTCCATGGTAATTATCTTTTGTTTAGTTTATCCCATTGAAATTATTTTTAATTGATTAATTCGATTAGTGTCTTACTTGAGGTTTCGGTGGGCACACACTTGACCATCGGATTGCCCTCATGTCCCTGCGGACAGGTGCATATGGGTCGATGACTCTTAGCCGTACACTTGGCACTCGCGGCACATATCTTGGCAAAATCGCAAGGATCCTGGCACAGACCCATGTAACAGGCCTCGCTCTCAATGCAATCGTTGTTCGATTGGCAGGGTTCTGGTGTTTTCGGTGTACCCGGTGGCTCTACTTGTTAGAAAGGATTTAGTGAGTTAAAGGAGTTAAGTAATTGATGATGGTTTTAAAAATGATATTAAATGATTTCAATAATATGTACAGGGGCTATGGCTAAGGTATGTACAATTTTTACAAAATTATTTGGTAAAATGCCAGATCACAAAAACAAGCCCTATACATAAGTATTTATATATGTACAATAGATGCGCTCTTGCCACTTTAGGATCTTTTTTTAACACAAAATTTATTAGGAACAATGTCGAAGACTGACTGTGGGTAAGAGATCTGCAAGAATCCACTCAAAATTGTACTCTTTTGGAATGGAAAGTATTGAAGCTACATACGCTCGAAATAAGTTCGAATGAATGAGTGTGTATATTCATTCAGATAATGAAAAACGTAAGAGTAAGAGGCACGAATTCATTAAGTGAAAATGAGGGATTGTTCCGAATTCATACAAATGGCAAATGGCTTTGCTTTCATTTCGTTGTTGTCTCACACTGGCACACAAATATTTAACTCATTAATTTTGAGCCGAAAGACTTATGTACATACATGTGGTGGATTTGTGCAGACCTAAATTTTGTGTGCTGGAAAGATCCCAAAGTGGCGTGCACTTATAACTTTGGTAAATAAAAATACCTTTCTTACGGCAATTGCCCAGCTTACAGTGCTCGTTAGGGGCACAGTTAGTATCTACTGTACATGGGTTAATTAATGAGATGTCAGTAGTGGTGGTGGCGTTGTTGCCTCCCAGTGGGACAATTATTGTGCTGTAGATCTCCGTTGTGGTGCCATCAGTGGTTGGCAGCTCGGTCGGCCAGGTTGTTGTCGCATCGGGCACTTCATTGGATGTATCCAAACGCGTGGTCTTCATCTTTGGCGTCGTTGTGGTTCGCCGTTGACTGTCGCCGGCCACGTCTTCGCCACGCAACTTGGTCGTTGCCACCGATGGCCTTGCCGTCGGTGTATCGGTTATATTGTTCTCTCCATCGCGATACCGCCTTGTGGCATCCGTGTGGGATGTTGTGCTTTCGGTGTCTGGTGGCTTATTCTTACTGGTTGTTTGGTTAGTAGCGCTTGTGGATGCTGTGCTCGATTCAGTGCTAGTGGAGGTAGTGGTGGTGGTCGGTGTTTTGACACTTTTGTTTGGGTTAGCAGTTGTTGTGGTTGTGGTTGTAGTTGCAGTTGTTCTTGGTGTTGGTGTTGGTCTCTTGGTTGTTCTTGGTTTCTTGGTAGTACTAGTTGTTATTGTTACATTAGCTAAGGAAAGAGACGGGTATTTACACGGGTAACCGGGAGGTTATTTTATATTAGACATATATGTACACATTGTATTTACACTTTTAGTGTTAAGTATTTAGTATTAATTAGCTAGGACTTTTGAGACAGGACTTACCCTTGATACAAGTACCAGTGGTGGGATCGCAATTGGCACCCGGCGGACAGTGCTCGCACCCAGGAGTGCGACCCATTTCTGAAAAAATTCAATAGCATTACGCATTAAAATTTCCACTTAGTTTGTTTTTAGATGAAGCACATACCTGCAGAGCACAAAGGCTGATGGTTGAGAACTCGACAGTCTTCGGTACGGCTGCAGGGATTACTGTAGGTACAGGGATCCACGCAAAGCGCATTGATGCACGCCTGCTGGGTGGGACACTCATCACTCGATGCGCAACCGATTTCTGTTGGTGCCAGAGATTTATGCGATTAGTTGGGTTCAGCTAGAAAAATCTCATAGTTCCGCACACACGTGCATTAATATATTGGTCGGTAAAATGTAAGTCATTCCCTTGATCAAGAATCCTGTTCGGTAGGTAGTTTCTCTTTCATTAATTCATTTCAATGCAGTTAGTATTAGAATTCTTCTATTTTCAATATTGGTTCTTTAGTCTCTATAATTTTTGCCACATTAAATACTAGCAGGCGTTATACATTAGTTAAATATATGTATTATATTTTAGTTGTAAGCTGTTGCTTCAAACAACATATACACATGCAAAAGCATTGGGGGTTAGTGCATTTTTTATTTAAGTGCTATTTCCTACAGTATCCATTTATCTACTAGGGTTTTTTGGGGTTATAAATTAGTAAACCATCTACCACATGCAGCTAATACAGACAAATACACTTACGGTACATGATAATGTTCAACTAAAACGAGTATATGTACTAAATACAACAAAAGTCAACACAGATTAAAACACACAAAAATTGAAAAGGTGTCGGTCACGCCGAGAGAGAACATGCGAATGGAAATCATAGTTCCAGAACGATAATTGATAACGATAAACATTCAAGATGATGAAAAAGGATTTGGATTTGATTTGATGAGATTTGCAGCAGGCAGGCAGATGACAAGCAGGCAACTAAAACATGAACGAGCAACATTGCAAACATTAAGAGGACATGCAAACGACAGAACGCTAGACGGTGAGGAGAACCCCAATGGGTTCGAACTATCTCAGGTGTAGTATTGCAGCTGGTGGTGAAGAAGATTGATTGGTGGGTGGGTGGATTTATTCGGTGCAAAAACGTTGAACGAAGGACAGCCAGAAGAGAAGCAGTACGAGCAATAACAAGAAAGGGAGCGGAGACAAATGTGAAGGAAGAAGTAGCGCATGATAACCGCAAAGGCACAAAGAACACACGAGGGGATTGCGAGGAATAATAAAACAAATGCTAGCATGCACGTGCCCCCACAAATCGGATGGCTGCTTATACATGAACATACATATAGGAGTATATGCCACAAGTAGAGAAGGGTGATGGCTGGAAATCCAAAAGTAGAGATATACTGAAGTGGGCGCCTACGATCTGCCAGTTATATGTATTGGCGTTGAAAGTAGTCGGCGCCACGATACCGCAACCCTGTGGTTCCTTGCAATTCATTCATTAATGATTCGATATCAAGACTTACACAACTTATATACACAACTTTAGTTACCTGCTTTCATAGAGCAATCGGGTCTATTTACATCAGCGGCGGTATCACAAAAGCACATTGTGGTGTGGTTCAATGTACGACAGACTGTCAAATTTTGCACAGTGCAAACATTTTGATAGTACTCACAAGGTGATATGCATATGCCTGCCACACAAGTCTCATCGTCAGAGCAGTCGATTTCAGTCATGCAATTTATTGTCGGAGTAATAGTCACAGTTCTTTCGGTGGCATTTGGCATACCAACCGCCGAAACAGGCGTCACTACCGATATAGGGGTGGGCTCTGTTTCCTTTGAAGCAGTTGGGATGGTGGATCTATTGAACGAACTAAGAGTTGGCATAAGTCTTGCCGGTACTTCTGTGGTGTAATCGGTCATTCCCATTTGGGTAGTATCTCCTGGAAGGGATGTGGTTGCTTCAGAAGCAGATGTTGGCAAAGTTGTTTCCCTAGAGATCGGTACTACAGTTGGTACAGTTTTAGGAGCTCTTTCTGTTGTGTAATCGGTCATTCCCATTCGAGTAGTATCTCCTGGAGGGGATGTGGTTGTTTCAGAGGCCGATGTTGGCATAGTTGTTTCCCTAGATATCGGTACTACAGTTGGTCCAGTCCTAGGCGCGCCTTCTGTTGCGTAATCGGTCTTTCCCATTCCGGTAGTTTCTTGTGGAAGGGATGCGGTTGTTTCAGAAGCAGAGGTTGGCATGGTTGTTTCCTTTGAGATCGGCACTACAGTTGGTCCAGTCCTAGAAGCTCCTTCTGTTGTGTAATCGGTCATTCCCATTGGAGTAGTATCTCCTGGAAGGGATTTGGGTGTTTCAGAAGCCGATGTTGGCATAGTTGTTTCCCTAGAGATCGGTACTACAGTTGGTACAGTTTTAGGAGGTCCTTCTGTTGTGTAATCGGTCATTCCCATTCGAGTAGTATCTCCTGGAAGGTATGTGGTTGTTTCAGAAGCAGATGTTGGCAAAGTTGTTTCCCCAGATATCGGTACTACAGTTGGTCCAGTCCTACGAGCCCCTTCTGTTGTGTAATCGGTCATTCCCATTCGAGTAGTATCTCCTGGAAGGGATGTGGGTGTGTCAGAAACTGAAGATGGAAGGGTAGTTTCCCTAGAGATCGGTACTACAGTTTGTACAGTCCTAGGAGCTGGTTTTGTTGTGTAATCGGTCATTCCCATTCCAGTAATATCTCCTGGAGGGGATGTGGGTATGTCAGAAACTGAAGATGGAAAGGTAGTTTCCCTAGAGATCGGTACTACAGCTTGTACAGTCCTAGCAGCTGCTTCTGTTGTGTAATCGGTCATTCCCTTTCGAGTAGTATCTCCTGGAGGGGATGTGGTTGTTTCAGAGGCCGATGTTGGCATAGTTGTTTCCCTAGATATCGGTACTACAGTTGGTCCAGTCCTAGGCGCGCCTTCTGTTGTGTAATCGGTCATTCCCATTCCGGTAGTGTCTTGTGGAAGGGATGCGGTTGTTTCAGAAGCATAGGTTGGCATGGTTGTTTCCTTTGAGATCGGTACTACAGTTGGTACAGTCCTAGGAGCTCCTTCTGTTGTGTAATCGGTCTTTCCTATTCGAGTAGTATCTCCTGGAAGGGATGCGGTTGTTTCAGAAGCCGATGTTGGATTAGTTGTTTCCCTAGAGATCGGTACTACAGTTGGTCCAGTCCTAGGCGCGCCTTCTGTTGTGAAATCGGTCATTCCCATTCGAGTAGTATCTCCTGGAAGGGATGTGGGTGTGTCAGAAACTGAAGATGGAAGGGTAGTTTCCCTAGAGATCGGTACTACAGTTGGTCCAGTCCTAGGCGCGCCTTCTGTTGCGAAATCGGTCATTCCCATTCGAGTAGTATCTCCTGGAAGGTATGTGGTTGTTTCAGAAGCAGAGGTTGGCATGGTAGTTTGCTTTGAGATCGGTACTACAGTTTGTACAGTCCTAGGAGCTCCTTCTGTTGTGTAATCGGTCATTCCCATTCGAGTAGTATCTCCTGGAAGGGATGTGGGTGTGTCAGAAACTGAAGATGGAAGGGTAGTTTCCCTAGAGATCGGTACTACAGTTTGTACAGTCCTATGAGCTCCTTCTGTTGTGTAATCGGTCATTCCCATTCGAGTAGTATCTCCTGGAAGGGATGTTGTGGTGTCAAAAGCAGATGTTAGCCTGGTAGTTTCCCCAGATATCGGTACTACAGTTGGTACAGTCTTAGGAGCTCCTTCTGTAGTGTAATCGGTCAGTTCGATCTGGCTAGTATCTCTTGGAAGGGATGTGGTTGTTTCAGAAGCTGATATTGGCATAGTTGTTTCCCTAGAGATCGGTACTACAGTTGGTACCTTTTTAGGAGCTTCTTCTGTAGTGTAATCGGTCATTCCCATTCGGGTAGTATCTCCTGGAAGGGATGTGGTTGTTTCAGAATCCGATGTTGGCTTGTTGGTTGATTCCCTAGAGAGGGGCTTAAGCGAGGATCTTTCGATTGGAACTACAGTTGGTACAGTCCCCGGCACACCTTCTGTGGTGTAATCGGTCATGCCTATTCTGGTTGTTTCTTGTGGAACGGATGTTGTTTTGTCAGAAGCAGATGTTGGCATAGTTGTTTCCCTATAGATCGGTACTACAGTTGGTCCAGTCCTAGGCGAGCCTTCTGTTGTGTAATCGGTCATTCCCATTCCGGTAGTTTCTTGTGGAAGGGATGCGGTTGTTTCAGAAGCAGAGTTTGGCATGGTGGTTTCCTTTGAGATCGGTACTACAGTTGGTACAGTCCTAGGAGCTCCTTCTGTTGTGTAAACGGTCATTCCCATTCCGGTAGTTTCTTGTGGAAGGGATGCGGTTGTTTCAGAAGCCGATGTTGGCATAGTTGTTTCCCTAGAGATGGGTATTACAGTTGGTACAGTTTTAGGAGCTTCTTCTGTAGTGTAATCGGTCATTCCCATTCGAGTAGTATCTCCTGGAAGGGATGTGGGTGTGTCAGAAACTGAAGATGGAAAGGTAGTTTCCTTAGAGATCGGTACTACAGTTGGTACAGTCCTAGGAGCTCCTTCTGTTGTGTAAACGGTCATTCCCATTCGAGTAGTATCTCCTGGAAGGGATGTGGTTGTTTCAGAAACAGAGGTTGGCATGGTTGTTTCCTTTGAGATCGGTACTACAGTTGGTACAGTCCTAGGAGCTCCTTCTGTTGTATAAACGGTCATTCCCATTCGAGTAGTATCTCCTGGAAGGGATGTGGTTGTTTCAGAAGCCGATGTTGGCATAGTTGTTTCCCTAGAGATGGGTATTACAATTGGTACAGTTTTAGGAGCTTCTTCTGTAGTGTAATCGGTCATTCCCATTCGAGTAGTATCTCCTGGAAGGTATGTGGTTGTTTCAGAAGCCGATGCTGGCATAGTTGTTTCCCCAGCGATCGGTACTACAGTTGGTACAGTCCTAGGAGCTCCTTCTGTTGTGTAAACGGTCATTCCCATTCGAGTAGTATCTCCTGGAAGGGATGTGGTTGTTTCAGAAACAGAGGTTGGCATGGTTGTTTCCTTTGAGATCGGTACTACAGTTGGTACAGTCCTAGGAGCTCCTTCTGTTGTATAAACGGTCATTCCCATTCGAGTAGTATCTCCTGGAAGGGATGTGGTTGTTTCAGAAGCCGATGTTGCCATAGTTGTTTCCCTAGAGATGGGTATTACAGTTGGTACAGTTTTAGGAGCTTCTTCTGTAGTGTAATCGGTCATTCCCATTCGAGTAGTATCTCCTGGAAGGGATGTGG